TTTTTTTTTTAAACACATCTAGTTAGTTTTCAATGAGATCACTGAATTCGAATTGGACATCTCTTCCTGATCGATACAGAAGGTGCTGCACCACGTTGCTTGGCAACGCCACTGACCACAAAACTAGTACAGGACCAAGGACTCAATCACTCTTAGAATAATTTCTGCTTACGCAATATAAGACCGTTAATTTGTAAGAGACTTTTGGCTCTGATACAGTAGTTGTAGCGTCCAGAAACTCAAGGAACAATCACATTTTTTGCGTAATAGGAGACTTCCCTGTTGAATGAACGATTAAGTCGATTTATGTAGTATAAATGCTAATTAAGAAACTGGCCGTTTTTCTTCATGTCTGCTGCTGTCTGAAGAATGGCGGAGAGAGGAACATCTTTTATAATTTAGCGTCAGAAATTGATTCAGTGGCGTTTTCAAAATAAATGGTTGCCATAAAATATGCCAGTCGTGCGGGAAGTTTCAAGTTGGTAATAAATTGGCTCTAAACGTTTGAAAAAGTTTAAAATTGCAGAAAATTGCGGCTTTATATTACTCATAACACATTTCTATTTAGTTTAAGATCCGACTGTTCTTTTTACATCATGCAGGCTATAAACAGTAATGCGCTCGTGTTTGTAGTTGTACCTTTGTTCGCGAGAAATGTTCAGTGATTGAAAAACCAGTGAACAAATAAAGTAGGTGGACTATGATAGAGCATTGGGAAAGTGTTTCCTCTCGTCATAACTTCAACGATCGATAAAACTGAATTTTCCTGCTCTTTGAACATTTCTCCTTGAAGGCGCCTGACCTTGTAGGATTGTAATAAAGTAGCCTGAGAGAAGGCCCGGTAGTGATAAAATTAAAGAGCTTCGATTGCAGACTGCTTGTCGAGTAACCGTAGATATCTATCCTCAGTTAGAAAAATTTTATCATTATGTACCTGAAAACAAAGAGATGTAAATCTAAGCAAAACAATGCAAGTTCTGGTAAAGGGTATAAATAGTGTTCTTTTAGCATGGTCTTCAGACCGAGTCCCATTTATTCAATTCTTTTTCAAGTCCAGTCGGTATGTCTCAAATACTGCTAAACGTGGTGCCGCTTATACTCAATAACAATTAATAAAGGTGTTTTTCAAAGCACACAGCAAACGAAAATAACACTAACTAATTAAAATGCGGTATCCAAGTCTGTGAAGCTCACAGAAAACATGCTTGAAAAAGAATAACGCAACGAGAATTCTGAATTCTTTAAAATAAATTATAAGGGTTAAACCGCGGTTTCACAATATTAATAAGTTTGTCGCTACGAGTTTCCAGCCGTAATCTATATGGGAAGGAGACAAAATATGCCGTATTTTCCTTGGTGGTTTGAAGTTGTGGTCATGGTTTCAACGGCACAAGTTGACGAGAAACTGATGTAGAATTCGTTTTAATTGGATTTTGAAGAATGGAGGTAGAAGAAGAATGCAATGATATTTTAGACAATAATCAATTACAGGTTTACGTGCGAAGAGGCATCCGGCGCAAAAACCCTGAACGACATTTGAAATTTCGTGGGAAGTAGGTTTAAACTTTCGCGGTTTCTACTTTTTGAAAGATGTCAAATCTTGAACACGATAAAATTGTTTGCTTAGCACGCCTTGCTCCAACACTTCTCATGTGCAACAAGTGCAAGTCACTCGGAGCGTTCAAAACGCGTTGCGGACGTATATTCTGGACAAATACTTATGGTGAATGCGAGCCAAACTTTTTTTCGATACAAATCGCCGCGCAAACGAAATTTCGTTATTTATATTTTTGACGTTTAATTCAAGTATAGAGTTGATACAATGCCACTGTTTATTTTATGCAAAGCTCGTTAGAACTAACACACTTTAGCCTAACGTATATAAACTTCCTGGGCACGAACTCGAAATAAGTCGCCTTCGATCTTTGAAAGAAGCTAAACCCCCAATACATTCAAATCCAGCTAATGTACTTTTGATTGCATGTTTCTGGTGTGAAATGTAACCTTTCAACTATCCAAAATTTTAATTTAACCAGCTTGTCTTACGTATTGTCAGAAATTTGTCGTTTACGTAGACTTCTTTGAGCTAGCACGCTATTCAATTTCTGCAATTTTAAATTTTTTGTTCTAAAGCTAAGCGTGGAATACAATGCTCTGTAAGAAAGAAGTGTTAAATAAATTTCTTTTATAGAATTTTTGTGTTCTACCAGGCTGACTCTTGTTGCTGAATAAATTTAACTCAGCAGCGATACCAATTTCAGTTAATTACAGTTTTCTGCTATACGGCCTTATCAAACTTGTCCGAAAATTTGGCGAAAAAAAAAATGTTTTTTAAACGTATGTATCTCTACTGCATAAAGAGAATGGAGATAATTGTTTTAAATCCAGGTATCACAAGGTGACAGAAGTTTTCATGCAAATTGACATGTTGACAAATTTTTTTTGAATTTATAAATTACTTCGCTGACATGTTATTTCGGATTGTGCGTTTTATGCTAAACTGCGTATTATTTTTTTTTCTAAACAAAGTTCATTATTTGTTACTTAGAATGTGATTCTAAAACTACGATATGATTCATACCACAGTAATAATAACGGCTGGAGATTTGGGGCAAAGCTTAAAATCATCATTCTCGATCATTCGAATCACCGTGTTGGAGCATGTAACCATAGAGATCTGTACATCCTCGTTTAGAATTGTCTTCTTTTGTTTTTAGGTAACATCCAATACATATTTGGCGAACAAACACTGCCAGTTGGACGCTGGTGCTATTCAAAATGAAGCGAGTGTTTTCAAGAGGCACAGTTCTTTTCCTTTGGTTGGGTTTTGCGTTGTATTTCTTCGTGGCTCAAATCAGCATTTTTCGAGTTACCTCCCATGTTGAAAAGACAAGCACTATTCCGAGGCTAGGCAGCGGGTCTGGGGGAGAAATCAACGACAAGAAGACCCTTTTGGAAGTACACGTTCCGCTCAATGGTAGGTGCATATTGAAGAAAAAAGTTTGAATGCCTTAGATCATTGTAACACAGTTATTATTAAGTAGGATTTTGGTAACTGATGAATTCAGTAGAATTTATAAATATGATAAGCTAGCTCCCTTGGTGGTATATACAACAGTCGATGGAGTTAATCTGTGCGGGTATCGCATTAAGTTAACCCTAGGATGCATTAAATAAAACCTGTATCAGCAGTGCTATAATTGAGTCCACCTTGATTGAAAGATGAATATCGAAGCTTACGTTATTTTCGTCAGCCATTTTTATTCGCTCAGCTCTGAAAGAGATATTGACTTCACTAATGACCGCGTTTCAAGGATCTATCCGTGATGCCATTGTAATTTAAATGAATAGCTTTCTTGGTGATCCAAATCGCGTGTTTCGGTTTATGTACCCTAACAGAAGCATGGTTGTATGCTTCTGACCCTAATTATCGGGAATATTGATTTTATCTATTGTTCACCAATCCAGAAAACCGTTCGTTCTCTGAGAGAACTGGATCTCGGTTTCAAACCAATGCAAGATATATATATTTTGAGCTTCTTGTCGTGTTCTGGACTAGATCACGGTATTTATTATTCGCTCTCGATGAGGTGATAGTGTTAATGAGGACGATGCCGCTAAAAAAACACACACACACACACGAAAAAAAAAAAAAAAAAGAAAACTGTTTCCTAAATCAAATACTTTTAAAAACCTCACGCTCCAGCAATATCCCACGAGGATTGAACTGTTTGAAACTTCCCGCTGTTTTCAGGCACTCATAAGGTTAAGTTCATTGAACAATTTTGAGGTTTTAGTCGCACAACGGTCCGATTTTCTTCCGCTTAAAGCGCTCTTAGGAATATCAAAGAAACAAGAAAACGTCACCTCGAAATCGACAACGTACCTTCACTGCACTCCATGCTAATGGATGATAGCCAGTTCGATAGCTGAGCCAATTAAATTGCAGCATTTGCATTAAGTCGAATTCCACTTATGGCTGCAGACGTTGTCTGGGCTGATAGTGTAGGTCAGCCAATCAGATTGCAGCATTTCCTTTAAAATGCTATTAGAGTTCAACATATCAGAAGTTTACTTAGTAATATTCTACGTCTGTGGCGAAAAAAGTGTTTATCAGTTTCACTGTTGTCATCGTCATCGTCATGGTCGTCGTTGTCGTCATTGTTCTCGTCGTCGTCGTCATCCTCATCACATCGTCATAGTCCCCGTCACGTCAGTCCTTATCGTGTCCTGGGACGCATAAGGCCTTCACAGTCTCTCTCCAGCGGGAGTGGTCTTGAAAATAGCTGGGATACGAAGTGATAATTATGACGGATGGTCATTAAAATGATAATAGTCGAACAAACAATTTTAAATTGGCCGACTTTTGGCCGAATTTGCATGCACTAATTGTGTCACTATTATTTTTTCAACAATGTATTACCAATTTATTATTTTATCCAATTATTTCTAGTGCCGACGAGACAAATTGATAGCTTGCCATCGTGTGATATCCTAGAAGACCCTTTGTTCCCTCTATGTTCCATGAAAATTAAAGTAAGTCACGTTTAATTTTTTTGATGTTTTAGTTTACGCATACCACATCAGAATCCATTTTGCAATATGACCGGATATCCGACTTGGATGAGTGTTTTCTTGCATGTCATGTCAGTATTTTACCATTTTACTCTGTCCTGTTGTTGACAATGTGATCAATATAGCTATGAGATCCCCGCGGTGTCAAGTAAGCGAAAATATGTCCAGGGTAAACATGTATACACAACAAAGGGTCCATTCCATTCAACCAAAAGTTCTGGTTTGTACTTCAGAAAATTTCCAGTGGCCAATAGAGCATAATTTTTTACTATTTCCGGAAAACGCTTGCCTCCTTCATTGCAGTTTCCTGGGTTTTCAAGCGCTGCAGAGACCTGTGGACTCTCGGCAGTCAGGCGAAAAAGCTTTGCACCCATTTTAACATTTTTTTTTTTTTGTCTTAAGCAGGAATTCAACAAGACGTGGGACCAAAAATGTCACGGAGATAAATATAAAGTAGACCCAAATAACATGTGTTCTGTTATTCAGTATTTGAGCGAGGTAAGACGTAAAATTAGTTTAACCACTGCTACCATAGAGCTATACACTGTCATTAGGTCTCGTTCACACTAGCGACCAAACGACATAACGTTATAAGAAGCACCGTTATGTCGCTATGTTTGCGGTGTGAACATTCTGACTGTCATTAATGTCGTTATTTCGCTCGTGTGAACCAGACCTTACTGAAATTGCTTAATGTCGAAGTGTCCTCCTTGAATAGGCCCTTTGCACGATCCGGTCACATGGTACAAAATCACACATGCTGGTGAGCAAGTTGCGCAGTGGGACTTCCAAAACAAAGGCAGGTCCAGGTGGACTGGTACGAGTTGCATTGTTTTAGAAGTCCCACTGCGCAGCTTGCTCACCAGCACGTGTGATTTTGTATCATGTGACGGGATCGTGCAAAGGGCCTATTTGCCCACAACGAGCGGAACCCGGGGCGGGGACAAGTCGAGTCTCGTACTTGAGACTGGCCGGGCTTGTAGTGTACTTATCGAGAACCACGCTAGCTTGGTAAGCTATATAACTTTTGTCGTTTGTTACAGATACAAGCCTGGTGTCCTGTATTACCATGGCGACGACACAGAAATCCCTTTAATGGGGCAACGGAGTGGCAAAAGGTGATTATTCGGACATTAGCTGTTGTAGTAATGATTCCGTGGCTTTTGAAAAGTAATCTCTTCTCACCGGTCTTACCTGCTCATACTGAGTTATAGGCGTTCTGCCGAACGCCTGCAGACAAGAAGCCAGCTAAGGGATAAACGGGCGAAGGGAAAAAGGAGGGAGGGAGAAAAAACTAGCTAAGGATAAAGGCATCCGCGCGAGAGAACAGAAGAGACCGAAAAGAATAGAGTACGGAGAAACGACGCGGCATAAACTTCCGCAATTTTTACTTCGAAGCTGAGAATAGTCGATCGATGGTCGACTGTAATTTTCTTTACTCGTTACTTGAAATTTTTTTCAATGGTTACGAGCTCGTGTTCTGTAATAAATAGTTTATGCTTGTGCTCTTGGTAGTTTAAATTTTAATCAATTACGCACTTAGTTTATAGAGAAGTTTTCAAACTTGCGCTCAGGCATTTCCCTTGTAAAAGTAGGAGGACTGAGAAAACCATGAGAACGAAATTGCAGCGACTGGCTACAATAAAAAGCTTCGCGATCCACCAGACAGTAAAATATCCCTGAGTAGCTTTCCATTACTACGTTGACAACAAAGAATTATGTAGTCTGTCTAAAATAGCTATTCCGTATTTTTCTTTCATATTTTTTATTTTTGAAGACAACCATTCAGACAAATCTCTCCGCACTTCTCGGCAAGTTCAAAGGCAAGAGATACGCTTGGATATGCAAACGAATCCGTGGAACCTGGCCTCACTGGCTTACAGCTATTGAAGAACTGGGAAAGTGGGCGAATTTGTATGGGACGAGAAGAAAGAAGGTAACAAAAAAATACGCATGTACAACAGCAACAATAACAAAAATAGGTTCCATATAGGCGCATGTGACTGCTGCTTACGAGGTAAAAGATGTGAAAAGTAGAGTTGTCCTACAACAACAACAACAAACAGACAAACAATTTTTATATAGCAGTGTGCTTTAATAGGCACGTTCTTGGTTTTGTGTAGTTGTGATGTCCTGTCATACCTCTTCCCTTTACTAAAGAAAACTTTCATATTTGAAGCAAACGAAAAAACGGTGGAGAAAAACGAACGGTTCGTAATAAATAAGGAACAAGGCATATCGGAAGGTCATCGGGTTTATCATATTGTTTGACACAAATTAAAATATATTGCATCTGCTGAATTTTACTACTTCTTCACTTAATGTACGTGACCCAGTGCATTGCAATGATATAAATTGCGACGTAACTTTATCCTTCTCTCGCAGATCTTGATCTACATGGCCGGAATGGGGGAGCACAAATTCTTTCTGGATGAGGCCTTTTTGGGAGGGCCTTTGGGAGAGCTGGCCCAGTGGTGTGATCTTATAAGCGCCCTGTACATTTTAGGCCACGATCTAATCATCGCCTTTCAAGTGGAAGATGTCCCACGGTGAGAGAAAGTTTTTCCGCACCAGCAATGATTAATAGCTAAATTCTTTTCAACATTTATAAGATCCTCTACGGAAATGTTCTTGAGAATTAAGACCTTGATCATCTCGAGAGTCTATCTGAAAATTCCTCACTGATGACGTAGCCCGTCAGAGACAACCTCATTCACATGGTCCTATTGTGTCCTTTCTTGAATAGAGATCTGTGTAGCCGTTCTGATTGGTTCTCACTTTTGCGCAAAAATCCGTCAACTAGCAACAACCAATCTGAGAACACAATCTGAACCTTTATGGAGTTCCTTTAATCTTTATAATGATATTTTTCCTGTAGAATTTCAGAAATCTTTAAGACAAGTAGCATGCCCTTCATCAGTGTAGTACTAACCTCAAGTGATACTTCGTTAACTTTATATTCATTTGAGAAACGTGTTTCGTTTTTAGTACCCTAATGAACTCCGCTTCAGATGGTTGTGCGCGACAGAACATGACGGATGGATTGGATCTCATTTTCACAGATATCATGGGAGTGCTGATCATAGCAGAACGGAGCGGTCCGGACTATTCACGACACAAGTTAGTGTTTTTTTGGCGCTTTTAATTACAGTTTGAGTTTCTAACCTAATTACTCTGAGGCGGAAAGAGAATAAGTGTATTGATCAATGTATAAACACATAAACAGATAGCCAGACAGATGGATAGGCAGTAGACTGACAGACCGTATAGAGAGACAGACCGGCAGACAAGTCAAAAAGACCCACAGACAAGACAGACAAGTAGACAGGTAGACAGGCAGTAAAACAGACAGACAAACTGACGACAGAAGGAGAGCTTTACTAATAATAGGCAGACAAACAGTCCAACCGACCGGATGACAGAAGGACAGACAAAAGACGGACTGACAGACCAACTGATAGACGAGCAAAAAGAGAGACAGACAGGTAGGCAGACCAGACAGACTGACTGACCTATAGACAAAGAAGAACTGGGATCAATATTTTTCTTCGTCTTCTAAATTCGTCCATCCGTTCACTAACCCGTTCGTTTCTAGAATCGAAATTTCGTCCAGTAATTGTCTATAGTTTGTATTTATTCTAGCCTGCCATTGACAAAACGCTTTATTCATTTGTATACCGAGGCAAACTGTAATGCCCTTGAATGCTTTTAACAGATGCAAGTTGCGCGTCCTTGACTCATTTGGAACAGATGCGGAATTTAACTACAAATATTACCAAGAGAAGATTCCTGGCGGCAGATCTGTTTGGGGAGATCTCGACCTTCAGCTGGCTCAGTTTATGACAATGTATCGTAAGTGCGCCATTCTGGTATCATAATGATTAATACAACATTGAAATATTACGCCAGATCCCTTTGTATTACTAGTAAGAACGATGGTCTAATATCTTTGTTTCTAGTATTTTGCATGCATAATTTGTATTTCAAGAAACAGTTTAGCCCACGCAAAATCTTCTTTCATTTAGCCTGATTTACCTCGTGAGGAATAGATTTCAGCAACCACGATCCCAGGTTCTGCTCAACGCAGGTTCTCCTCTCCTCAAGGGAGGCAAAATAGAGAGAGCATGGGATCGAGGTTGAGGATTTCATCCGTATATGGTAAATTCTAACACCATTGTTTTGTTACAGCACACAGTCCAGATAACTCGTTCCTTGGTTTTGCGGTTCCACGACGATCAAAAGAAAATAGAACCCGACTTAAAAGACTAAAGACGCGGAAGGCGGCCTTGATATATGGAAAAGATCCATTATTTTGGAAAGTGAGCATGATGAGCAAGAATAAATAGAACATCACTTTCATGTGCTAAAACTAAAATATGTAATTGAAAGGACGGGGAATCCTTAATTCGCCTCTCTCAGCTCCCATCGTTTTAGGCACATCTGCGTCCTTTAGTCTCTTTTAACAAAGCTTAAGTGGCAACACTTCCCCCGGTGATCTTTTCATCTTAAACCACCTGAGCCTAGAAGGCATGAAGTCTCTTTCTCCCTCACCTCTCTGACCCCACCAAAAAAGGGCCAACCTTCAATTCGTCCCTTCCCCTTTTGTCAGGTAAGGCAAGGGCCATCTTCTATACACCTCTCTTTCCCCCTTTTAGAAGCGCTCTGTATCTTCCACTGTTGGCTAAGATTCTTATAACGAAGCGTAAGCAACTGTCACGCTAGGCAGGGTTCATGCTGGAACGTTTGTTAGATGGAAACTTTTTTTATTTTATCCCCAGGGTTATGGCAACTACATCAACACAGTGAAAAGATACTTCAGCGAAGTTCACGCCACACTAGGCGGAACTAGCGTAAGTGGTTTGTGATATCCGTATCTCTTTTCACAACAACACGTTTTCTATTTTCAACAACACGTTTTCTAATTTCATTTTTGTTATTCGTTAGTTTACGACACGTATTTCCACTACTTTCAACAGACATCTCCGACAGAATGTTTCGTATCCTAATTAAGCCTTACTTGGACACTGTCAGATTTGTCAAGGCTTTTTTCTTTAGCTTTGAATTCCAAGCTCCAGAAGTCATAATGTTGCAGAATAGAGCTAAGAATAACGATAACAACAATAACAACAACAACAACACTAGCAAATCATATCATTCGCCTCCAACTGAACCACCCGTTCCTCGTACCTGGGCCCCTCTGGATAAGACAGACAGGCAACTCTGGGGTAGACAATGCAACTGGAAAAAAGCTTAAACAACAACAACAACAACAACAACAACAACAACAACAACAGCAATCACCGACACCACCACCAACACAACAACAAAAGACCACGCATTAATTGTTTGCGCCTAGGCAAGCTTTGTCCGAGGTAGTAGCTTTATCCATTAATTTCTTAAAGATTTATGGCCCAGACCTCGAGCTCTGTTCTTTACTGTTGTTGTCATATTTCTATTAATAATAGGATCGTCAACGGCAGTATGGCGTGCCTGAATATGTGATAAACCATGGGATTGTGAATATAACAACGCTTATCAATCTGTTGGAGTCTAGCAAGGTCAGTACCAATGAAGAGATTAATAACGATCAACTAATGCGCTCGACATTGTAACAAATGGAATAGATCACTGGCCTGGGAATTTTTCGTTATTTTATGAATAAAGTAAACGTGTCTCGAACGAAATCCTGTACTTTTGGTAAAGCGTGCACAAGGGATTCGGAAAACAGACCAGTCATGTCAAATGAAAATACAAGTCTGAAAAGTTATTTCACTGGTCATGTGTAAGAACGTTACACCCTTTTTACACTTGTCTTTAACGAGTTCAGTCTCAAGTTCAAAACATCAACTCTTCTTATTGATAACCATACAATTATTTTGATGGAAGTTCTGAGAATTTACGGTGCATCAAGGCAATATCACAGAGATTATGATTTCTTTATTCTCTTGCTTCTTCTTCAGGTGTTTGTTGGTCTTGGCCAGCCTTTCGAAGGACCAGCAGCCCTTGAGGCCTTGGCCAATGGATGTTTCTTTCTTAATCCCAAGGTATTGCGTTTTTAAATACAGTTATATGTGAATATTTTGCATGTGAAATGATCGCATTTGACTCTCTCAGACTATTAAAAATGCTGACAACTCATGAACTTAGGTCAGTAAAAGACACGGTGGGGAGCGATAAAATTGGAATAGGGTTTATTCTCTTTTAGTATTAATCTTCTAACGTTCTATCACGAATGCCGTTCTCTGAATGCCTACGCTACCCACGATCTATTCTGTTGGCGATATTGAGTAGCCTAGCTGTGTCGTCAACAAAATGGCAGCCGGTTCTTTGCGTTTTCAAAGTGTTTGCAGAAAGAATTTAGTTAAAGTTTTCAACGACTAGTAAATTTATTCTGAAACAATTGGATTAATTGCTCTCGATTTTTGTGCGTGATAGAACTCTCGAGTTCATAATCAAATAGTTAAAACCAGTTCTAAACAGTTCCTAATAAACTCATTTCTTTTTCGTAGTTTGTTCCTCCATTAGATCGCACGAACGCTGGCTTTTTTGCTGGTAAACCCTTCAATAGAAAGGTAATGAACTTGAACTAGTGATAAAACAAAAACATTAAAGGTCGAGAAAGGACGCTAATGTAGGACGAATGTGTTAGGTGAAATCATGATGAACGTCGATCGATGGAGGCAAATCAAGCCAAATTTGCCAGGGACACTTAAAATATGGCAACCTGGCCAATATGGGGGGCTCTGTGGCAACTTCAGGGGCGTGACTAGGGGGTTCTTGGGGTGCCCGTGAACCCCCCTTTTGTAAGTCTTTTTTTAAGCAAACAACCTATAACAGCGGGGAAAGCGACTTGAAAATCTGGTGA